CAAAATCTTTGGTTTAACTTACTGGTTATATATTATGATTAGCACTACTTGATCTATAAAAAATTCTATATTAATAAAATAGCAATAAATTTTTGCTAGCATAGATTCTACCTTCTCTATCTCTCAGTTAACAACATAATCAAGAGAAATTAAAGTCTATATCTGACTCCAAATCTCTTGATTCCTGATTAAAGGAAAAAAGATGCAAAAAAGCCAAGCTATTCTTTTGTGTAAATGTAGTTTCCTTTGCAAAACAAAGTCTGATCAACCATGTGTGCAAATATTTTCATATAATATACATGATCGCAAATTTATGCTTGATTTTAATATTTAATTTGTATTTTCTCTTACTTGATGTCAGATTGTTCTATACTTGTTTTATACTTACCTATCTTTTGTATTATTCTGTGAATTAAAGTTTACACATGTGCATAAATGGATATTTAAAATCCATAGATACATATAACGACACATATATTACACATTTTATATCATGTATATTGGATTTTAAATCATTCAACTTATAATAAAAAGGTGAAAAAATCATGTACAACAAAATAGTCTGGATGATCAGAAGTGAAATTCTTTCCTCAGTAGTTTAAGACTACTAAGTTCCATTAGGAGGAACCATAGAATCATAGAGTCATAGAATAGATTGGGTTGGAAAAGACCTCCAAGATCATCAAGTCCAACCCCTGATCCAACTCCAATTACTATAGCATGGCACTAAAGGTCACATCCAATCTCTTTTTAAAAACCTCCAGGGATGCTGAATCCACCACCTCTCTGGGTAGGCTGTTCCAATGCCTGATTACTCTCTCTCTAAAGAATTTCTTCCTAACATCTAACCTAAACCTCCCCTGGCAGAGCTTGAGCCCATGTCCCCTTGTCCTATTGTTGGTTGCCTGGGAGAAGAGACCAACCCCCACCTGGCTATAACCTCCCTTCAGGTAGCTGAAGAGAGTGATGAGGTCACCTCTAAACCTTCTCTTCTCCAGACTAAACAACCCTCCTCAGCCTCTCCTCATAGGACTTGTGCTCAAGTCCCTTCACCAGCCTCGTTGCTCTTCTCTGGACCCGCTCCAGCACCTCAATGTCCTTCCTGAACTGAGGGGCCCAGAGCTGAACACAATACTCCAGGTGTGGCCTCACCAATGCAGAGTACAGGGGAAGGATCACTTCCCTGCTCCTGCTGGCCACACTGTTCCTGATGCAGGCCAGGATGCCATTGGCCTTCTTGGCCACCTGGGCACACTGCTGGCTCATGTTCAGCCTCCTGTCGATCAGCACCCCCGGGTCCCTTTCTGCCTGGCTGCTCTCCAGCCACTCTGTGCCCAGCCTGTAGCGCTGCAGGGGGTTGTTGTGGCCAAAGTGCAGGACCCGGCACTTGGCCTTGTTGAACTTCAACATATTTATATTTAGTTATATATTTAGTTCATATTTTCTGTGTAAGGTAGTTAGACCTCAGATAAGATTAAAGATTTTAATCCTTGTTTGTCATGAAATAGTGGAGTTCCACTGAAGTCACAGGGATTCATTTATACTAGTCAATAACGTGGAATATATTTATATTTTTGCTGTGAACTAGTAAAAATGTGAAAACACAATTGATGGAGATTTTCCTCTGAGACGCCCTACCTTTATTCAGCTTTTTTGCCAGAGGGGGACTGCGACAGAGCATGATGGAAGACTATATTTATTAACGTGAAAGAAAAGAAATTGAATACGTTTCTCCCTATGTAGTTATGTTACAGAAGAGATTTTCTATGAGGACAATACACTTGTTTTAAACACTGCGTGCCAAATTAATTA